GACCATCACATTCCCTTAACTCACCAATTAGGGATCACTTAAAATCCTAGAATTACAGAATCCCTACAGTGCAGCACAGGGCCATTTTGCCCATCAAGTCTGCACTGACCGTCCAAAGAGCATCTGACCCAGACACCACCCTCACCCTGTCCCCATAACCCCATATTTACCATGGCAATTCGCCTAGCCTGCACATCTTTGGACTGTTGGAGAAAACCAGAGTGCCCAGCAGAAACCCATGCAGACAGCGGGAGAATGCCCAGCAAAGTCCACACAGACAGTCACCCAAGGCTGGAATCAAAGCTGGGTCCCTGGTGCTGTGAGGCAGCAGTGACAACCACTGTGCCATGGTACCGCCCAGTTAAGGGCCTCAGTTTTCTTGTGTGACAGGGTAAAGTGGAGTCAAAGCGGGAGCCCAGCAATTTTCACCATGCAATTTACTACCAGGCACCCCAGTCACTGTCAGAGTCCCCTTCAAGTGCAGACTCCCTCCTTTAACCCTCCTCAGTTGGCATCTCTAACCTGGCCTCCCAGCCACCTTATCCCTTCCCCCCTACCCTGTGCTGGGACTTCCCAACCAGGCATGTCAAAAACACTACACTTACCTGTGTTGAGCTTCATTGCTTTTCTTCCTTGGAAACTGGCTATAGTCTCAGCAGTGACCACTGTTTGAACCTAGTGTTGTGGGAACTGCAGAGCAGTCAGCCAATCAGGTTGACTGGCAGCTCTCCAAGACAGGACTTCCTCCCAGATAGGACAGAGGTTCCACACTGAATTAATTAAAACTGCTCTCAACATAATGTTGCTGTTAGATAGCCAGTTTATGAATTGGCAGGCACACAATCAATTTTTCAGTTGGGGGTAGCAGGAATACATCACCTTATGAAATCTACATCTATGTTTTAGGCAGCTTGAACTTATTTCATGCCATAGCCTAAGGTTACAGGTTTTGTGCAAAATAATAAAATTCATAGAGTGCACATTTATTTAAAAATATCTTTTTGTACATTGTTTTGAAATAGGAGTAGGAGAAGTCCCATAGACTAAGGAGCTCTTAAAATGAGGACTTCCCATGCAGTTTTATTTGCAATATTAAAGTTCTTCTGGAAAGTGATTTTTAGATAGTCTTCCTATATAGTTTCAATATTTTTATAGCTTTATTGAAGTTGTGGCAGATCTCCTAAAAAGCACATGATGCTTATGCTGACAAGAGGAGTAGAGCTGTCTGTATATTGTCAACTAATGTCACATCTGTACAACATTGCCTGCAAAAGTCTCGCCTGCACAAGGAATATACATGATCTGTCCAGTAAATTAACAAACTGGAAGCTTGGTGAAACACACTTCACTCAGAATACTGAAACAACTCATAAATGATAGTGACCAGGAAGAGAGAAGGCTGCTCCCTTCAGATGTGTGTGACGTTTTATTTGAAATTTCCTGCAACACTCCTCAGGTTACTCTACTTTTCTTAGCTGAGGCTAATAAATTTCCCAGTGAAAGCCACAAAAGATCAAGCACAGCCTTTTTATTGCTCTGAGTCATGCCCAGTCAATGCCAAAACCTGTTGTCAGCTGCACACAGCCCTATACCAATTGTTTTGTTTTTCCCAATCAAATGAATCCATTCTCAACCCCTGACCAACAACCCTTCCAACTTATAACTCCACCCTCAACAGGACCTACCCAAGAATCACTGATAATAAAACAGCAGCTAAGAATTAGATAAGTAAAGTCATTGAGTCAGACAGCATAGAAACAGTCCCTCCTACCCAACATGTCTATGCTGACCAAAGACACTGAACTACACTAATTCCATTTACCTGCACTTGGTCCAGAGCCTATTATACCATGGCATTTTAAATGCTCAATTCAGAGGTTTCTTAAATGTTATGAGAATACCTGCCTCCACCACTCACTCAGGCAGCACATTCCATATATCTATCACCCTTTAGATGAAATTTTTTTCAGATCTCCTCTAAACCACTTACTCCTCACCTTAAACTTGTGCCCTCTGGTATTAGATATGTCTGCCATGCAGAAAAGATTCTCACAAATTACCCTGTCTATCCCTCTCATAATTATGTAAAGCTCAATCAGATACTCCTCTCAGCCTTCTCTTCTCCAAGTAAACTAACCCAGCCTATCCGGTCTCTCCTCATAACTGAGACTTTTCATCCCAGGCAACATCCTGGTGAATTTCCCCTGCACTCTCTCCAGTGCAATCACTTCCTTCCAATCATGTGGCAACCAGAACTGTACACAGCATCCTGTACACCTTCTTTCCTACCTAGTCTACTTGTGCTGATGGGATCAATTGACTTGTACACCAAGATCTCTTTGTTCCATAGTACTAGTTACCTACCAGACATCGTATATATTTTTTTTTAATGAGGCCTCCCAAAATACATCACCCCACACTTATCATAACTAAATTCCATTTGCCATTATTCTGCCCAATTTACAAATTGATCAATATCAGACTGTAGCTTGAGACTATCCTCCTCACTATCAACAACACCACCAATTTTCATGTCATCTGCAAACTTACTAATTATACCTTCAACATTCACACCCAAGTTGTTAATGTGCATAAACTGATCCCAATGGTACACGGCTGGTCGTGGGCTTCCAATCACAAGAACCAACAATCCACCATCACCCTTTGCCTCCTGTTTACAAACGAATTTTGGATCCAGTTTGTTAACTTGCCTTGGATTCCATGGGCTTTTACCTTTTGGACCAGCCTTTCATATGGGACCTTGTCAAAGGTCTTACTGAAGTCCATGTAAACCACATCAACTGCACTATACTCAACAATATATTTAGTCATCTTTTCAAAAACACTCAATTAAATTAGTTGGACAGTATCTCCCTCTAATTAATCCCTGTTGGCTATCTTTGATCAATCCTTGCCTTTCTAAGTGCTCACTTATCCTGCCCCTCAGAATTCTTTCCAATAATTCCCCTATCACTGATATCAGGCTAGAGATAGCAGGAACTGCAGATGCTGGAGAATCTGAGATAACAAGGTGCAGAGCTGGATGAACACAGCAGGCCAAGCAGCATC